ACCCCCCCCCTTCTGAATCATATTCAGAGACTGAGATGATTTTAAAAAAAGATGCAACGATTCAATGATATTGAGCAAAATTTTCAAAAAGATAATTTCTAAAAATAAAATAAAAAAGATAAATATTAAAGTTAAAACGCGACAATTCGCAATAGACCTGTTTAATATCCAATTATTCCACGAAAACGCTTTCGAAGATCGTATTATTATCAAGATTTTTAAGCATACGCAAAAGAGGATCCTTTAACAATTTACAAAACCTTAACTTGGAGAAACTAGGGGCTCTGAAGATTAAGAAAAAGATTTACAAAACCAATCATCTGTAACTTATCATAAAAAAGCATGCAAAGCGAATCATGTGAATGTTGCATATGAAACAGTAGATGATCATTGTGAAATAATTAAGCAAATTTTCATGTCCTAATCTGTTTTAAAGCCCAAAATTCAGCTATTAATTAGAACCGGCAAAATCAAGTACTTTAAGAGATTGTTCTTTTTATTTAAAAATAAGCGATACAATTTTAGAAATCAGTCCAAACAAACAATTCTATTTCGTGCAAACCTTCGGCCGAACAAAGCAGCGATTTTTGCCAAGTCAATATTAACTTGCAAGTTTTAAATTAAAGCTAATTTACTTAAGCAAAACTTTAGAACTTTCAAATGTGATTTTAAATGGCGTTTTAATGCCCCATATCAAATAGAATATATTACTTCCAATAAAAGCATAGATTTCCAATAACGAATACTCACAATTTTAAAATGCAGATTTCAAATACAATAATCAATAAAATTCAAAAAGACAACGTAAAAAAATTAATTAATTTCCCTCAAAGAAATGTTTTTGATGCAAACGTGAAAAAAATCGATACGAAAGCTGGATTCAAGTTTCCATCGATTACTTGTAGATTAGCACAATTAAGTCGGTAGCATTTTATCCCCGCTAATTTAATTCAAACTACCCCTAAAAGTCCCCTTATTGTGAAATTTGATTTAATGGGATATTCCACTCAAACCCAATTGACATAATGACGATAAAAAATTAAATATATGTTGGCGCTGAAAAATCTTAAATAATGCCATATTCAGTTGCTGACATTAGAACCAGATGGTTATAACTATGGGGGCTAGTTTACAGCCTTATCCCCACAGCCCACCCAACCTTAATCAAATAAACGCTCATCTGGACACGGGTCCATGACTATTGCAAGGATTTCAGTAGGTCTATGCGAATAATGATTCTGGAAAACGTGCTTCACTATAAATGGTGTTAGCAAAAGGAACTTCTAACCGTAGAAAAAACATTAATCAAGCCAAAAGTAAAGTACGTGTGGCCAAGACTAGAACACACTTTGCCTGATTAGCAAACACGAACTAACCCATGTCCCTCTGCCGAGTGTATGTGTGCAATTTCGGGAAGAAAACCTATTCATAGATTGGAAACATAAATCATAATTTAATTACTGCCTAAAGTTTCTAGCGATATCAACAGTAGCATTATTAGTAAGTAGCCGATTCATTAACACTAATTAAGTAGTAATGAGTAGTAGTGAGATTTGAAGCACAAGGAAATATCCAAGTTAATAATAGTTTCGTGGGGTATGGGAAAAAACCGGTGTTGCTAGGAAAGACCGAATAAGATAATTTCGATCCAATCCATTCATTTAGACCTTGGACCACACACAAGAGTAAACGAATGGTGTCGAAATCGTTTAGATTATACTATTCCAGAATACATTGAGTATATTCGAAGAAATTCAGTTGGATTGAGGACATTCAAACAAGTTTAGAGTAGCCCAGACAGCAGCAGTAGATTTTTGATGTATCAAAGATTGGTGGCTGTTAGCCCAACTAAAATACCGGGATACTGTAAAGTTACCATCAAAGGTTAGAACTACTTAATAGAAGATAATAGATCAAAGTAATGCCTACTCAATGAGTGAACCAATGATTATCTTCACATATTCCACTCGGTGCGGTATAATATAAGCTAAAATTATGACATCAAGATGACGTGTTCTCACATGCGCTATCGAATTGCACTCGAGAGCAATGAGAAGTAATACTGACAATCTGTGATACTCACACTTTCAACCTGACACAGTGAGAGATATTTGCGTGGAATTTTACCCATAACGCAACTGCAAGATACAAATCATAATCACTGACAAAAAACCGAGAAATGGTGCGCCCAATATTAACTTGAGGGGGGGGGGGTTTAAATCGGCTTACTTGAGGATGTAAGGATCGGAAAGCAGTTGAGCTGCACTAGCCCGCTTCTCTGGGTCAACTTCGAAGCAGCGTTTAATAAATGCTTTGCAGAGCTCAGGCAACTCCTCGGGGATATCTGGATGGTCACTGTAGTATCCTGCACGGTAGAAGGCTGCGTAAGCATCGAGCTATATAGCAAACAAAAAATGATTGCGTTTTAGTGGATTACAATTTCCAAAAAAAAAAATAAAATCCTGGTGATTTCAATCCCACCTACCTCATGGTAAGGAAGTTTACCGGTTACCATTTCAATAACAGTGCATCCAAAACTCCAGATGTCCGCGGGGTAACCATAACCATCCTTTGAGGCATTGATCAGTTCTGGAGCCATAAACCTCATAGTGCCTAGGAGGCATTAACATGATTACCAATTTACTGCGCATTTATAGAGAGGGAACCAGTCTGTACTCACCTGTAACTGAGCCGGCTTTTCTGATCAAGCCACCCAGGCGCTTTGATGCACCGAAATCGGCAATTTTGAGCTCTCCCCTGTACATATTCAGCAAGATATTATCACCTTTAATGTCCCGATGAACGATCTTGCTGGCGTGCTTAAAATGTTAACAAAAATAAATAAATAAATAAATATATATATATATATATATAATAAATAGGAAGCGTGACCAGTAATGATTATAATTTAATGGAATTGGGTAATATCTCTTTCGTATTAAGATAATAGCACACACACACACACGCACACTCATGAAAATGATAAGATTTTATGGCGATTGTATGGAGAGAGCAATAATGAACAGTGAACCCCCTATGAGAGAGCAGATGTTTGCCGACGAGGTGAGAAATATTTTGGGTAAAAATCTTTCTACTTCAAGAGATACTGTTGATCTGTGGCAGCTTATTGGAAGCTCAACATCTGCTCCATTGACAAAGTATCTACTAATTGGGCAGTTCAAAAGCTGTGGAATACTACATTCGAGCCAGCCGTAAACGAAAAGTCTCTCTCTCTCCCCGTAGAAGTCCCGATCACCTGATTGGTACAGGAAATGCGGTCGTATGATAGTATCCCTTTTTAAAGTCTCGATTTATGAAGTGTAGTCTCACTAATGAAATAGTAAAACTGCTACTACAGTACAAACTTTATCAATGCAATAGAGGCTCCCTAATCTTAAAGTTTTGAAGTCATCTCACTTATTCAAAAGAACTAGTCATTGACACCTGTCACCTAACTTCTCAACCCAATCCATGGCACTGATAACGAGCCCTACTATTCCTATTTCGAAATTGTGCACCCCCCCCCCCCCCCCCCCCCCCCCCCCCACCCACCCCACCCATACAAGCCCTTTTGAATTTTTGCTTAAAGAAGGCCAATCGCCTGCCCCCTCCTAAGTTGGAACTTGTTATAGGAAGAGAGAATTTTTTATATGAGAGGCGTTAACTTATAGCATCCAAAAGTGGTGCAAAGAACACACAAACCATCCAAGTCTATATTGCAGACGTTAATTTGTTTTCTCTAGAACAACTCTTTCAATTTCGAATTCCTCCTTTCACTTCCCACTTTTTCCCTCAATCCTTGTCCTCCTTGACGCTGCCTCTAAGAAGATCATCAGTACTTTTGGGGAGTGTCTGGTTTCATTTGATCGGACGCCAAAAAGTACAAATTCACAATCACCCAAATTGACTTTCTATCAACTCATAACATCATAACAGCATTTAAAAAGCGTTAAAAGCGTGATTCTACTAGGGGGTATAGCTGATGTATCTGAAAATCACTTGCCCAAAAAGAAAACACTGATTACAAAACAAAATCTGATAAGTACCAAAAAGGCACTATTTTGAAAATGGGTCAGAATGACACGCGTGAATGCGTGCTGTGGCTCTTGTGTGCATCCATGGGGGGTGGAGTGTGTGTGCGTGCGTGCGCACCTGTGTGCGCAAGTGTGTGTATGTTTCGAAAGCACATGCGAACACAAGCGAATTTCGAATGTGCCCCTGTGCCGTGAAGTACAAAGCACAGCACAGTGCACAGCGCATACACCTGTGCGGGGCACAGACTAACGTACATACAAATATGCACAGAATGAGCTTACTTACCAAATAACTCAACCCCTCGAGAATTTGACTGGAGTAGTGCGATACGGTTTCATCTCGTAAACTTCCGATTTTTTTCAGCAGGAAACTCAGCGATCCTGAAAAGCAATTCCAAGAGATGAAGCGATGCAGCAAAACAGATACTTATAATGCAATTAAGATACCGAAAGCAACTATCAACGCATAATTGAAGAATGCCTACGATATGGATCACGCGCCACCACGGTTACGGTAATTCAGAGGGAGATATGTGTGACTCAATGGAGGTTTCTAATAAATAGCCCTAGGATATATGGGTAGGACTTTAAATTACAGTAATATTAATTCTGACAACAGGCTAGTCAAACGATATAGTATGCGTTGCACTCTCTAGACTCTATGAGGGCTGTGGGTAAATGACATAAGGAAGGGTTGAAGGTCTAAGACGTCAATTGCTCATCTCATCAGTGACATTGTAATCGTAATGGAAAAGAGATGATCAAAGCCAAATTAGCGATAATCGTACACAAATACAAATGAGAAAATAAAAAGCATTTGATTGGATGGAGGGGGGGGGTAAGGAAATGGATTGAAAGCAAAGTTCTAAAGTCTGTATATAATAGTATTACATTAATATTGGAAAAAAAATACTTTGAATAAGCACGCAATCAGTGGAAAGGGTCATTAGTTAATTGATTGAATCAAATCGAATCAAATTTACCTCCAGGAACGTGTTCCATAAGAATTTTAAGCACACCATCTACGTAAACTGAGCCCAAATAACAGACGATATTGGTGTGGTTGAGTCGAGATTGTAGGTTAATCTCCTCTATCAACGGTTGAAGGTCCCTATCACCAAGAAAAAAGTAATAACAACTCTGGAATCTCGTTAACATCAAATTTAAACTTAAAGCATTTGGAGGGTAGCCTACTTTTGAGGAACATTTTTAATCTCCTTGATGGCGATTTTAATCTCTCTGCTCAATTCTCTACCAGCATACACCGTTCCAAAACTGCCAGATCCCAAAACGATCGGATGTCCATTATCATCAAGCTCATAAACAAATTGAATCGGTTCATCGTCCTCGTGTTCATCAACCAGGTAATTATTGTAATCGGAGAGAGAGGCACGAATCGAGGCCAAAAATCTTGAAATAAGGCATTAGAGCATTAAATTTGTTTTAAAACACACAAAACAAAGAAAAGAGGATTTCAAAAATGCTTAATAAATAAATTATGGCTCACTCTGTTCGTGAGGTTTCACTGGGGAAGAAAATTGAGTAGTCTTCAGCTTGCACCGTGAAGAAGTAGAGATTTCGTTTGTCTTTTGGATTGAGACTATAAAAAAGCATACAAAGAGGAAAGGTCTATGGAATGAAAACACGAAGCATTGAAATGGAAAACTCCAAGTGAGTTCAATTAACCCCCCCCCTCCCCCACTCCTCAATGTATGTGAAAGGACATATGCGTTTAAGTACTAAGCTCATTTTACCCTCTACAATCTCTATTAGATAGGGTCCGTAATAGACTTACCTTCACGTGGAGCACTCTGAGCAACGTATACTCATACGGCAAAAAAGTTTATCAAACCGGCAGTTGACTTCTCACTTCAAACAACCATCACCCTACTCTATGTCATATTCCACCACTTCCACAGTACTCACCTCACCTTTTTCTCAACCTTTGTGTCCGTCTCTTTTACATCTTTGAAACACTCTTCTGTTCCCCCCCCCCGGCCTCTCGACTTTTTTCACTTTGATATTCCTCCTCACCTCTGTGAAGCCTGAAGTCAACTAAACGGCTAATGATAACTATCATAAAGCCTGCTATTTGATATAAATCTCTATTAGATTTGTAATTCACCTTCCAAAATTTAAATTTCACTATTCGTGAAGTGGAGTGGAGTTAGTGTTTGCACTTTTTGACTGGCAATTAAGAAGAAGTGCTAGTCTGAGCGCTTCATTTCGATTTTGAGCATCGTGTCTGCATCGTTGCATGCTGACATCACCATATAAAGTGAATGACATTGTGTGACGGGGGTGTCTTAATAGCACAGTGCCAATAAAAGGCGTGCCAAAATAAGGTTGCACCACTCTTAAAACCAATGGTACTTGCGTTTATTCTTGGGGGGGGGGGGGGGGGGAGGAACGTTGTTGTCAATCTTGATCCCATTGAGGTCACTTGTATAATTACTTTTGACAAATAAAAGTGAGAAAAACAATTATGTGCCCCTTTGGCAAACGTTTTAGTGAATAAAAGGAGAATTTTTTTCCTTTCAAATATGGATTGTAATTCAATTATTACCCCCCACCCAGGGGAGGTATATCGTATCATCTATTTTTATTTGCCAATTGGATTGATTGCATTACTAAAATGAGAAAATTTTGAAGGAACGAATGCGAGTGCTATGCGAATTCAAACTTTATAAAAAATTAATTCCAAACTCCGATCTCGTGAATTAGTCAATCATGAGAAACACCTATACTCAAATATTATTTAATTAATTTCTTGTTTAGAAAAAGGTAAATTTCTAGATAGAGACGGCGTTGGCAGTGGCGTTTAACAGTCAAACGAACCCATATATCCAGCGACATTAGCTGTTAATAAATATGCAAATACCCCCTCAAAATTTTAGTCCAACTGAAAAATGCTTTATTCTAAAATGTTTATTAGAGTTCACCTTAAGTGAACTCTCTAGGAATGTCGGCTATTTAAAAGCCAATTATCCTGTTTCATCTTGCCCTCCACCTTGGCTAGGAGAGAAAAATGCGTTTCTTTAAAGTGTGGTTGAAGATAAACCCTCTGCGCGTTAATCAACTAGTTAATGGGAGTGAAATATTGTAAAAAAAATGAGGACAAAAGTGTTGAAATTTGAACATTGGAATTATTACAGCATGTGCTATAGAACTTGTTAAGTCGCCTGATGTCTGTGATTTCGTTTCCTACGTCGATTTCAATCCCCCCCCCCACCCCCTCCTCGTTGAAGAAATTTGAACATTTTGTCTTACTATGGGGCTATAAGCACATTCGTACAAATTTTCATTTGAATGTGCCGATTTCTGAAGTATTTACATATTTATTGATTTATTAAGAGTGATAGGTATAATCAATTAGTCTTCTTTTAAAAGCTCAAATCAGTTAATCACAAAGCCAAATCCCAGCAAACAGTTTCTATTCCATGTGCGTTTACATCAAAACGAGCTGATGTGTGAGCAGAGCTCAAAGAAAATATTAGAGAAGTTGCATCGACAGACTTTGCTGTCACAACGCTTGAAAGAGGCTCATTTCTTTTTGAATGTCCATAGAACTGATCCCGATAGGGGAAGATCAAATTCAAAACCTCACGAATCGTTTCACAAGAGTTAGTAAACTCACCTAAATCCCTTGATATCGCCCTCAAAGAACACCAGGTCGTAGGTTTGATTTACAAGAAGGTTCGGTTTCGGTGTAGCCTCTCCACTTTCCGTTCCACTTTCCTCATTGAAGGTGAAAACCATCGGTGTCGCAGCCCGATGATTAGTCTTCGGTGGAGGATGCTGACTATTATTAATATAACAAACTCTCATATTTGGTTTATCGGAATGAGCATGAAGATGAAGGTGAGCTGGTCTCAACTCCTCGCCACCCATGTCGACAAGGAGAACTGGGAAAAGAATTCGTTGGGGCTCATCTGTATCCGTTTTCTCGAGGGGTTTCGGTTCAGTCTTTTTCTTCTCACTCTCGTTCTCTTCTTCGGGCTTTGAGCTATCTTTCGGTTTCTCCTTCTCCTCTAAATTGACGGAGAGAATGCACAAATGGAGTTCTAGTTATATGAAGCATAATTACGGTTCAAGGCGCAAAATATAGGCTCCGATCAACTAATCGATAATCTACCCAGAGGAAAAGAAGCCTCGTCTTGGAAATTCAATTACTACTAATACGAAGCTTTGTTTGAATGAGCAGCTCTAGCGTAAACAATTTTCATAATCATTTTGGATACCGCGTTGTGCAAAAAAAATTACAAAATTATTGCAAGTTCTACTTCTTTTTTTCCAAATCCACATCAACGACATGGGGTGTGCGATAGACTTACCTCCACGTGGTGCAC